ACCTGCATCACCTCACCTGCAGATTAAACGCAGAAACGCAGAACGCCTGTGCGCCGCCGACGAAGCTCATACCGAACTAACATGGGCGACGGCATGAAGCTATATAGGTGCCCTGCCAAAGACTTACCTGGTGGAACACCTGTGGGGATCTTCCACAGCCACACATGCAATTTCACTGAAAGCCTCAACTCCTGGCCAAGACATTGTTCAACTTTCAGGGTCATTAGACCGCGTTCTCGATCAACCCTTTGGGTTCACCGAATTAGAGATCATCGACGAAGGTCCGTGGAGCACCACGCCAATCTGGCAACCACGCCCGGGAGCCTTCGACCAAGACCTCCGCGGACGAAGAACGCCCTGGGTTCTTCAGCAGCAGTGCTGCCTCCGTAAGCCAGCGGGGCACCGGCCGTGTGTCCGCCTCCTCAGCGGGACCGACACAAACACCAGCAGACGGTTCGGCTCATGAAAACTCTATAGCAAGACACTGGTTCAAAAGGAAACTCGCGCTTGGGGCTGACTCTAGCCGTACTGTAGCTGACAGTGAAAATCGTGACAACCCGTTTGTAGGTTCAGCAAGTTCTCCTTCAGGATCCAATCACCTCACCCAGATCTTGGCTTCCCAAACGAATTCAATCCAATATTTAGCAAGGGGTTCTGGGGTGATATTGGAAATCCCCTTCCCGGTCAGCACCATTCTTCTGATTATGTCCGATTCAAACTACAACATAGCACTAGGACTGGAGGAAACATTGCCCTTCCGAATTTCTAGACTTCCACTGAATTGCCGATGTCAAGCATGAGAGGTCATGCAAACAAAAGTGGCAAGGATGGTACCAAACCCTCTCCTGCGGCGGTTGAAAGGGCTCGACCTCAGGTGATGGGATGGCAGAGTGTTGGCACCCGAAACTCCAAGTCTTTCAAAGGATGGGATGATCTCAGAGTGCGAGAGGAAATCATTCTGCCCGTGATGTTTCACAAACAGCAAATTGGCTGTGATTACCGTGATGTCCCATCAAAAGTATATTGTGTATAATTCAATGTAGCATGAGGGACAGTCTGTTGCAAATAGAATAATTAAGAGCCTTTCCAATCTGTTGGCTTCTGCCAATTCCCTCCCTCCACTCCAGGATAACTCACATCCACTTTTGCCAGGAAACTCTCCATGTGTTTCCCAACCCTCCCTGCACTTGTTCTGGGCGACCCGCACCATGCCGTCATCGCGAAAGCCGTCCTCTTCGCCCAAGAAGAAGCCCAGCGTCTCGGTCTCGGCCCGTCTCGGCCTGTCACGACTCGGCTTGGCCACGAACAGAATCACCTGTACTTTTGGGGAGACCTCCGCCACTGCTTGATTGAGTAGGCGCCCACTTAATTTAAGTCAGGACTATAGGAGGCTCCCAGCTACTGGATGCAGGATAGCTCACGGCTCACGCTTCTATTCATTTCGTTCCTACATTCCTAGATTATAGAAGAAAATAGAGAATGATTTTGCAGGCCTCGAGTGAAGTGGTTTCTTGACGGTTTCTTGTCTCGCTGCGTTTTGCAAGGATGGGGGATCTCACTGGGTCCTGCAGTTGGGATTCGCTTTGGCTGGAAGCAGGCGTCCTTACGACCACGGTCGTATAAAGTTTTCAAAGTAACCTCTGGAGTCACTCGTATTTCCAATATAGAGAGAGAGAGAGAGAAAGATGTGCTTGGTAGCCAATAGATAGATGCGTGAGCTAACACATCTACACCCTGCAAGTTATCCATGCGTGCGTAATTTTAGTCTTCCGCACTCTAATGACACATCTTCGCTCTCCCCCTTCCACAGACCCGCGCAAATGTCTTGTGAACCATCTCACACACACTCAAGATATTGCGTACTGAACTGAATGCCGCTCGCCCCACGGCAACCTAAGTGACCATATTCCTCAGAGTACAGGTGCAAAGAAACCTGAAGGTAAAAAGGAGCGGAGTGCCATCAAAGTGTCAAAGACTCAAGTGAATCGAACGATCGGCGAGTGCAAGTCTGCAGAATGGTGAACCGATGCAAAGGCTGGCAATCTCGTTGCAGTTTAAAAGGGGCCCAGTGGGAAGTGAAAGTCATCACTGAAGCAGGTACGTCATCAGGCGTCCCTGATGATATCCTAGGAGCGCATGAGGAGCTTCGTTGGATGGAGCCTCATACGTCCTCTCCATCCCCTTGCTAGTCGAGTCAAAAAAACAAAACAAACCAAATCAACAGATTCCCTGTGATTCCCAGGGTACTGTACACACTGGGAAGACTAACTATCCACCTCTTGGAGATCGCAGCCAAAAACGGGATCTTTGGCAATCCATCCTTTTCCCTTCAAAAGGGAAGGGTGACCAAATCTGGTGGACCGAGCGTTAGTCAGTCTTTCTTCACGCTTCGACTCGCCAAATGAAGAGGAATCCAGTGGCCTTGAAGGCCAGGTTCCAAATGCATCGCATGGAGCGCAAAATGATGGAATGGCGCAAGATGTATTGGAGTGCCATCAAAAAGCTCTAAATCAGAAAGTTCCGCAGTGAGACCTACTCAAAGAGTTTTCCCAAAAGCCTGGGCCTTGGGTCATCGTTGACCTCAAAAAACAATTGGGACTATCGACGAGTTATCGGGATTTCATACAACAAAGCTATCCAACGCCACGAGAGTTACATCCATCCCCGCCTCTTGATGCACATCCGGCAGTAGCTCCTCTCCACAGCGCTGTGGCGAGCCGCCTGCCACGCCTCCTGCATCACAGATTCCGTGTCCCTATTGGCCACAGGCCAAGAGTACGAAGCGTAACACCGTGGAACATCATGAGATAAAGAAGGCCATCATCTTTGATACTCCGCATTCAAGGGCCAATCCGCAAGGCTTGGATCCCCGAAGACCCGCCACCTGAACAATCCTGAACTCCGAAGACCCGCCAAAACGCCCCACGCAATCGGCGCAACTGTCCTCTGCGGCAACTCTGAGATGCTGAGACTAGCCCACTCTCCCAAACGCCCCGGGCCTCGGGGTCCGGTCCCACCAGAAGGTGCCGGTACTGCATCTGGACCTCCTGCGGGACCCGTGGCGGACGGCCGGGGCAAAGGGTGCTTCGGTCGTGGATTCTCTCCGTTGGGATGAAACCGGTTGATGGAGTGGTAAAGTGCCACGGTCAAAGTGTCAGAAAGGGTGAAATCTTTGAAGACTTGCTGCAGAGCATGTTGAGGCCTCATATTGCGCCGGATTCTGTGCTGGGAAGGCATCAAATTTCTTTGTCCTGACATTGAGGGTTGCATTGGTGTGGTGCCTGATTCTTCTCTGACTGCGGGCATAAAAACCCAGCGACTGAGACCAATCTCACCCCCAAGTATACAAACACAACCCTGGGTTCATAGTGTCAAATATCTTCTATTTAGGATCCTGCGCCAGGTGAAACAAACATCTTCGAGCTGTCGAGTTTCTCTCACCCGTCAAAGGATACATTCCAAATCATTCCAAGCACAGGCACCTTGAAGACTCTCGGCTTCCAAGAATGCCAGGCATCAGGATCGGCCACCTGCGGAAAAAAACACCCAGCAATGCAAAGACTGCCAGAACTTAAACAAGGTTGATGTGTTTTCTTTGTTTAAGCCTGCCCTTCCTTAATTAAGTAGGCGCCATTTAATTGATCAAGTAGTGGACAAGCTCGCTCCTAGCTACTTTTAAGCTTCAAGCAACTGGACGCAGGATAGCTCACGCTTCTTCAAAGAAGCTTCCTTTAGGAAGCGCTCACACTATATAATGATTTTGCTCCTAGATTTGGTTCCTAGTGTGGACCACCATGCCTCAAGAGCAACACTTCTACCTCCTTCGACCAGAAATGTGTTGATTATACTGAAAAAGATTGCGTGTCTGGAATTCACACTGCTTCAACACTGGAAGCCGATTCGGCCAGCCAGAGCGTCAAGCCCAGTTGGTGTGTGTGTGTGACCTTCTTTTTCGCCTATGGACTTAGGAAGATAGGTCATGTGCCTACTGCCTGGGAAGGGGAGATTCTGGGATAACACAAGCACCAGCTTTCTGACAGATTGGCAAGAGCTTGTCGGCTTGTAAAAGTATCGCTCACATGAATCTCAAGCAGCACAAGCACCTTCTCCTCATCGTCAACATTGTCAACTCCAGTGCCCATTGCTGTTAAGCGAGTGGACACCAATGGCCGACAGGCTCGTTCATGTTTCGGGCTTAGCTTTTCAGAAAGAATACAGCTATATAGATCTATATAGATGGTGAGAGTGGACAAAGTACGCAGGTGACCTCCCTCTGCATCATGAGCATCAGTGTACTTAGCTACACCATGCTGACCCTCCATGAGCCCTCCAGTTGCCTTCAGTTCTGATTGAAACCTGTTGTTTATACATATATAATTCAACCTGCAAAGTACCTAGCGTTCACAGCGCATAATGCTTGCCATCTCTGATGCTAGCTTCATGCCTCTTGGATTTTCTATGCATAATGACCTTTTCGGTGAATTCCTTGAGCCCAATGAGCAACACCCCCATGACGAAAACTACTTGAGGTTTACCTGAAGGACTAACTGATCCAGTGAGAGCCTCACAGTTGAGCATATACCGCTTAGCTTGTTCGTCTGGCCTACCCCTCTTCCCAGTGCGGCTTGAGAGGCACCTTCCTTCAGACACACCCAAACTTCGATGCCTGCTTCTTCAGAACCAATGCGCCTTGAAAAACCTGGGCCTTGTGCTTTCAGAATGACAGAGAACTGCCCCTGAGTACAAATACCGAAACACCCGCACCAGGGTTCTGGTATGTGTTCAGAAGAATTGCACGGGATCAATCAACTTGGTGGAACCCATCCAAAGTGTCTGCTCAAATTTGCAATCCTCCACCATTTGATACAGTCATCTTGAGGTCCAATGTCTTGAGAAATCCCACTACTTACGGGCTTTAAGATGCTCCCCTCTCCCAAATGTTGGCACAGGCCCCTAGTCCCTAGGCCCTAGGCGGCGCCCCACCACCTGAGATTCCCGGCCACTGAGCAGGGGCCCAGAGGCATGCAAGGCTTTGTACAGGCGGTTCACTGCTTGAGTGCTCCTCATCAAAGCATTGGTCGTCACATGTGCAAACAGACCAGCTGCCAACGTTTTAGACCTGCCCCAAGTGAAGAGCGAATCCTGCGACACAAACCGTCGATGTCACCACCAGCGCCGATCCTGGGGACGGCAGTAGTGAACGAAACCAAACCAACGAAACCAAGCACAACCAATCCTGGATGATGCAAGGTCAAAGCACGAGAAGTGCTTGTGAGTTGGCTTTCCTCGTGTCCTCTGTGCGCATCCTGAAGAATCATGGTTGTGAGTCTTCCGGTAGATTTCTATCTCTCATGGTGTTTGACCCACCGCACACAGTCTCTCCTTCGCATGGTGAGGATCAAATGAGAGGCCCGCAGAAGGTCTTGTGGCACTCCGTCTTCCGCCGCACAGTTACCACCAAGCAAATGGACGCGTGAGGCCTGACCAGCAAGCTGCGGACTGTGCCAGAAACAGGGGCAAAAAGAAGCACTAGTGCCTTTGAATGGGCTCCCAGGGTTCGCAGGCACCACCAAGTCCTCCTCTATGCCACAAAAAAACGTGGTCATGGCACTCGTCTCAATGGTCATGACATTGCTGAACGAAGAAAACAAGAACATTTGAGCAACGGGATGGCTCGATTGAAAGAGTGTGCTTGTTTGTGCGAGTTATCCGCCGACCCCGGCCTATAGCCAAAGCCTAGGCGGGGAGGCGCCTGGGACACCGCAGGGTGAAGCAGTTGGCCAAGCCTAGCAGAACCCTTCAAGCACTTCCAAAGGCGCAGGATGCAGCAGTTGGCCAAGCCTAGCAGAGCCCTTCCAAGCACTTCCAAAGGCCTGTCCGAGGCCTCACCAGCTGGCCGGCCTGTTGCGGCCTCTCTGTGGCCTGTCCGAAGCCTGCCTCCTCTCTTCTTTTGGGCTTCCGAAGGCGACGTTTAGGCATTTTGGACCGCCTTCAAAAGCTTTTCGGCCTCTTGCGGCCTCTCTGTGGCCTGTCCGAAGCTTCTCGGCAGCCGGCAGGCCTCTTGCGGCCTCTCTCTAACCTGTCCGAAGCCTGCCTCCTCTCTTCTTATGGGCTTCCGAAGGCAACGTGAGGCATTTTGGACCGGCTTCAAAAGCCTCTCGGCAGCCGGCAGGCCTCTTGCGGCCTCTCTGTGGCCTGTCCGAAGCCTGCCTCCTCTCTTCTTATGGGCTTCCGAAGGCAACGTTAGGCATTTTGGACCCGCTTCAAAAGCCTCTCGGCAGCCGGCAGGCCTCTTGCCGCCTCTCTGCAGCCTGTCCGAAGCCTGCCTTCTTTATGGGCTTCCGAAGGCAACGTTATTCAAAAGCCTCTCGGCAGCCTGCAGGCCTTTTGCGGCCTCTCTGTGGCCTGTCCGAAGCCTGCCTCCTCTCTTCTTATGGGCTTCCGAAGGCAACGTTAGGCATTTTGGCTCGGCTTCAAACGCTCCCCAGAGCCTCACCGCAGCCTTGCCCTCTTCTCGGCAGGCTTCCGAAGGCGACGTTTAGGCATTTTGGACTGCCTTCAAAAGCTTTTCGGCCTCTTGCGGCCTCTCTGTGGCCTGTCCGAAGCTTCTCGGCAGCCAGCAGGCCTCTTGCGGCCTCTCTGTGGCCTGTCCGAAGCCTGCCTCCTCTCTTCTTATGGGCTTCCGAAGGCAACGTGAGGCACTTTGGACCGGCTTCAAAAGCCTCTCGGCAGCCGGCAGGCCTCTTGCGGCCTCTCTGTGGCCTGTCCGAAGCCTGCCTCCTCTCTTCTTA